GGGTGTTGATAAATAATTAGACTGCACAAAGGAATATTGGAGATATAATTTGACTGAATGAAACCTTGAATTAACTTAAATCTAAAGGTCTAGTGCAGTGATACTCAACTTATGACCCACAGGCCGAATATGGCCCGCCATAAGGTGCTGAGTGGCTCGCCAACCATTTTCTAATACACAGTGAAAATTAATCGATTTCACATTTTTTTCGTACTTTGAAAGTAAATAAGGTGTCAGACTGCATAAAAAAGCATTAAAATTCCCAGACCTTCCTAGAGAGGTCCAGGCTATGCCCTGGAAGTCTTCAAATCCTAGAAATGCCCCTGCATACACCTGACCTGTGAGGGGCTGCTGCAACTGCATTGCCTCTTGACAACAATGAGTAAGGACAGCTATTGCCGAGAGGTTAAAAACAGGCATTCAGTTTATTATACTGATAAATACAATTTTTTTTGTTTATCAACTGGCCCCTGGCCTCCTGTTATTTTGCAGAACTGGCCCCTGGGCAAAGCCAGTTGACGATTCCTGGTCCAGTGTGTAGGATTTAGTGGCATCTAGTGGTCACATAGCAGAACTGAAATGTCTCATGTCTGCCAAGTGTGTGGGAGAACTAAATGCAAAGAACGTGAATGGTCCTATACACAGCCAGTGATCGATTTGTCCATTCTGGGATAATGTAAAAACAACATGGCGGACTCCGTGGAGGAGGAGCTCCGTATGTAGATATAAATGTGTCATTCTCAGGTGATGAAAACACAGTGATTCTTAGTTTCAGGTGATTGTAAACAAATGAAAACAAATCTATGAATATGATATACCATTTCTGCCAGTAGATGCTCCTAAATCCCACACACTGGACCTTTAATATCTTCAAGGAGATCTCCAATAATTTTTACATATCAAAGTCTTGAGGAGGACTTACCCTGCATTCATGTGGTATCGGAGAAATCGGAAAAATGAGTTCCCAACTGAGAAAATTCACATGAATGCCCCATCGATCTGGAACGACAACTTGGAAAGTTGGCAACAATTTTGGTACACAAGTTGACATATATGCAGAAACATGGTGGACAAAAGTAAATGTTCAATTGATAGTAATAAACTTTTTATCCATTAACACACTGCGTACAATTTGTAATATGCTACTGGGTTGTAACCATTAGTTGCTGTGCACATAGAGTGGCCTAGATTAGTAGGAAAAGTAATTTAATGAAGCTCAGTGTATGTTTAATCAGGGCTTTAATCAGTCCCTATTTGACTATGGATTCATTACCCTCCTTAAATCATACCATCTTGATAGAGTCTAATCGCCAAAGACCTTCACATATTTCATTCTTATAGGCACATGCAAATAAATACTCTTTTTTACTATTAAAACCAGTCTCTTGTGATTGAACTAGCATTAGTCAGTGAAAGCAATATCTTGGTAGTGTTAGCGGATGCACTGGTGCACCAACAAGTGCCAACTTGGGCTATAGAACCATCTGAGGAGCAGGTGCAGGCAGCATCCTGCATATATACAGTAAATGGATGGAGTATGTGAACACATAGGCTCCATAAATGTGTTTATATGCATAACAACCTCCTTATTCGTTGTCTGGACTGTGTAGGTTGGTCATAAATGTTCTTAGGATTGTGAGAAAGGTAGGCGTAATGAGCTCTGGTTTCAGCCTACATCTGTTCAATCACTGCTTTAATCTGTTTTACTCATTTCATGGCTGTTAAAGCACTCGTGTGTGTTACTGTTTTCAGATTTTCACATTATTCCATTGTGGTTTTTTTCAACGTACATCCAAACTACATCATAAAATACAACACTATAGATGTATAGCAGGCTTGTCAGGCTAACAATGACAGAGAAGCTTCATTTTAAGGCCGTTTTGAATGTGATGCTCATCAGTTTGACCATAAAAATGCCCTCATGAGGACACAGGAATGTGCTACAAAGGCAAAATGAGGAGGAAAAAGCCTTTCTCTGTTTTGCTCATGGCGATGTAAGTCTGACTCTGCAGCACTTCAGTCCTGTACAGTCATGTGTCATAGGTTGTCAAAAGCAGCAGAGGCATAAATCCTCTCCCCTGCTGTCAGTGTTCAAGTAGAAAGCTCAAACAGAGAAAGACAGCCCATTCTGCTGCTCTCTACCCACACACACACACGCAGAAAACACACAGCAAACCACAAATCACTGTCATGGATTTGTAATCTAATAGCTATAAGAAAACCCTTCATGTCACTTTGATGTCTCAGTATCAGTGGAATACATTACAAGGTGCTTCACTGTGTTTTTTATAGGCCTTCAAACATTTTTTACACAACACAGGTACGAGCAGAGAGCTGTCAGTGCTGCGCTCTATTTGTCCTCCTGGTTTTTTGAACATTTTTGTGTCTGGTGGGTGGTGAAAACCTGTCTCCAACTGATTTTTCTTTTTTTTTCCATTATAAAGGCTGTCTAAGTGGGCAGTCAGCGGGGAGAAGCTCTCAGGTCCCGGTGACTCACCTGACAGCCTCCGTGGATCACTCTCTTCGTCAAAGCCCACTCACAGCCGTCTAAAGTGGCCTTGTTTCCACCGCCTTTCTCATATGAATATACAGATTATGAAATTTGAGAGCACTTCATCTCTGTGCTGGAGACGCAGCTTTCAGCAGACAGCATGGCTTTGGGTTATTTTCTCCTTCAGGATAAGGACAAAGTGCATCCAGCAAGAAATAATCCAGCATCACTGAGATTTGCGTCAGGATTTAAGACGACATAACTGAGGCTAAAATGACAGTGGTGATTACGGTGTTGTCTTAAAATAGTTATTGTCCCACTTAAAGGAATACTTCACCCACAACATGACCATTTGTAAATCAATTAGTCATACTCATACATCAGAGAAAACCATGGAAACAGCTTACATATTAATTTAATAATTGATTGGGGACCACCTTTAACAACAGCAAAACTATCAAAACAGCCTTTTACAAATCTCATACAACCTGTGTAGTATAGACCAAGTCTCATTTATCCAGTCTTATGCTCAGTACTTCCTAAACACATGCACTTTTTACTAAAAAAAAACCTTAGTGCTGGAGTCAGGCTTTGACGAGAACGTAGATAAGTTTTACTTTAAGTTTAGTTTTAAATCCAAACATGCACATGTTTGGGAAGTACTAAGCATACGACTAGATCAAAAGAGCCATTTTTGGCCCAAAAAGCTCTAAAATAGCTGCAAAACATATTTGAGCTTTATAATGAATGTGACAGTAAGTCTGAATTTGCCAATTAACATTACAAATTTGTCTAAATGAGCCTTTATTGATATGTTGTACCACAAGCTGGCTCCTCTGCAGTAGGCTGTTTATGATTGTTTGGTACTAAAGTTTTGCAGGGATGGCAGTAAAAGCAACCAAATATGTCAATGTTAAATCTTAATTTCTCAAAGAATTTTTTGACCTGGAATCCATAGCTAGGTTAGCCAGGGAGATCCAAGACAAGCCACTGCTACTGAGGTTCAGCTAAATTTAATGTAAAAGGCAATAGGCTTTCTGTGAATAGGCTTTACCTCTACCACAATGGAGAATGTAAGAATCCCTCAAGGTCTACGACAATGAAAAATGAAAATTAAAATGTTAAAAAAGTAGCCATCATTAATGTACATAGAATTTTTTGCCAGAGCCAAAGGGAACCACTGGAGAGGGCCAGAAGAGCCGCCCCCCCTACCCTGGACTAGATGAAAGAAACTTTATACACTGCACAGGTTGTGTGGGAGTTTGTAAAGGGATACTTTGATATAGTTTTGCTGTTGTTAAATGCGTTCTGTTGACCACAGCACAGTTTTTGCACACACACAAAATTGTCTTTGATATATATTTTTTTCTAATTGGTGCTTAGTAATGTAACATTAGTTCTCCATGTTCATCTCTTGCAACTTGCGTGGATGTTGTCAGAATGGTTCAAAGAAAGTGGATCATCTGGGAAATTAAGTGCAGACTAGCTGGGAATGAACAGCATTAACTTTAATTAATTCAGGATATGAACTGATTTGTGGAACACATTTTAATAACATAGCTTTTCAAGTATTCAAGTGTCAAGTAATTTCAAGTCAAAGGGCTCAAGTCCAAATTAAGCCATGAGACACTGGCGTTTACAAAGAGTCTACAGATAAAACCAAGTTAAATTTAAGACTTTTTAAGACCGTTTTAATACCACCTTATGACATTTAAGACCAAACCTGCAATGGAAATACACCTTATATATACAGTATGTGTGTGTATGACACACATGTGTAAGTACTCTTTCCAAGGAAACACTGATGTCAGTTCAAAATGAACAGTCAGGAAAATGACAACAGTTGGGTGAGTTTCAGTTTAATGTGTTTACTATAAAAGAAAACAAAATCTCTTTTCATGGTAATGTGATCTAAAATATTTAAGACCTGTCGAAAATGAATTTAAGACATTTTAAGACATTTTAAGGACTGTACACACCCTGGTTTAACTCCAAACCAAGCTGCAAGTCTTTTTTGATTTTGAGTCTACTACAGTCATCGAATTTGTAAATTTTGTCTGACCTGATTTCAATTCATGTGACTCAAGTCCACGCCTCTGAATAAAACTATTGTGTAATATAATAATATTCAAGTTAAGTGCCCTTTTCCTGTAGAACCTGTACTTTTACTTTTGATACTTAAAATACATTTGGATTGTACTTTTACTTAAATTACTTAGAGTACTCTCACATTGCTGCACTGGTACTGTTACTTCCTCCATCACTGTTTGAAAGGTGCTGTCTCCCTCAGGTTGTCACATTTTAATGATTAAAGGCCGAAAGACGCAAAGTAAGTATTTGTGTAACAGAAATAATTTTTCTTTCGTATCCCATTGATCACCACTTAACTCCTCAGATTTAACTGCCATGTTGGGAACAGCTGATACTCCCCATATAAACTGTTTAGTAGTTGGCATCACCTACTGACAGAAAGAGGAATGATACATAAATGACTTACCCATAAAAGTCCTTTAGTGTTCATTTTTTTACATTTTAATGAAGTGCTAAGCAAACATGAAGTCATAAATTACAGCATGTACCACTGGCAAAGTTACATAACACACATGGATCCTTAATACGATGCAAAAACAAAAGACACCTGCTGAATAGATGATAAAAGTACACAATAAAAAATATGCAAACATTATACTTTCGGTAAATGCATCAGCAAAAACTGAGAAAATAACACAACGAAATGGCGCCGACCAACAAATGGTAGCTGTCTCTGGAGTTTGACTCGTACAGGATTAACTCCTGCGCTGGCAGCGTAATGACAACGACACACAGACAGGAAGTCAGTTTTTAGATCATGTACAGCTGATGATACAGTTTATGCCCTAAAAAGCTTATTTCACACCAGAGCTGTGATTTTTTTACCCACAACTCCGCTTGTTTCCACATTCTTGCTCGTGTCCGTATACCACTACTGTATAGACAGATACGCACGTACAGCATATATACACTCTCAAACACACACATTCTTCATTCCGAGGGATCGCGAGGCACTACGTTTGTCTCCAGCAGTCCAGTCTTCCCAGCAGTCTGAGGTCTCTCTGGTTCAGTGTACCTGCATGACACCGTGTTAAGTCTAGGTGTAGTAGATGATCTCTGGTATCTGCCCGTCCTCCACAGATGTACCATTGTTATTTCCTGGTGAGCTAAAAAAGAAAAATGTAGTCTTGGTCCCCGTTGCTGATTCTTGGGTCACTTTCTTCAACCCTTTGGTGCCATAATGGGAGTCTGGGCCCTGAGATGTACAATAAAAACAGACTTTAGATCAATCCTAATCTGGGTTTGAACAGATAAATTATGCACATTAGGACACAGTTTAATACACAGCAAGTTGAGACTGACCTTTAAGGTGGCACATGCAGTGTAGCTGACATTGGGTAGGATTTCCACAGGCTCTTTGAACATCACTCTGAATGTGTTCGCTGTGCCGTCACAGTTGAAACCTGTGTCGTTCTGCCCCAGTGTAATGCGTTTGTCACTCTCTAAAATCTGCAGAACAGTTCAATGCCTTTAGTGAATGAACAACAAGGTGCAAACAAATAAACAACTTTAAGCTGTTAAAACACAGCTGGCAGGGTGCTGTGTGCTAATGTACTTTTATGGTTGGTATCTGAAAGTATTGCCTGCACCAGAAATAATTTATTACCCACTATATACTGCACTGTGCTCAAACGTCAAAGGTAGAGAACATGAGAGGTCATTCCTTCGTTCACTCACTCGTGAATTTCCTGACAGGAAATTAGGGGAGACGAGAAGGATGATGTGCAACAAAGGTCATACCTGAAGCATGGGGATGTTGTTGTGATTTCATGCTCAGTGTCTTGAAACTCTAGATCACCAGGGTGGCCCATAAATCAACAAACTGTAATCTTCACACCAATAAAGTACTGTGACATTTTAGGCTTTAAGAGTTTTTTCTGTAAACTGATGGTTGATATTTAAATCACTGAACAAATCTGAGGTGTTTACAGTGACACAGTGCTGCAGGAATGAGTCCTAAAACCCAAATATGAGTCAGGATTATAGCACCTCCGGTTCCCTTGTCTCAAGGTCAATGGATTTTAGGTTAGATATCTGAAAAAAGCAAGCTTGAATTTTCAATTCAAGAATTTTGAAGCTATTAAATATCTTAAAAAGGCGGTGGCTCAATGAGGCAACAGAACATCATAATGCCCAACACGGCTTTGCTACCTCATTGTCGTGGCGATGTTGAAGTCATGTGAGCGTGGTGTAGTTTGTTTACAGCCAACCGAGATTGCATTTATGCTTCAAAAATCCTAACAGTGGTGTTTATTTATTAGGACTATCTTTCTGAACAAAACATGAAAGTATCATAAACTTAGTTTGTCACAGAGCTTATTTTCTGCAATACTCAAAATCTAAGCGTAAAACACTGCTGGCATTTTGTCAAGGGAACCAGGGCTATGTTAACTTTAGGGCTGGCATACAGATAAACCTCATCCCTAGAGTAGGCACCTGGACGCTCCCTTTCTATTAAGTCCCGACTCCGCATGGACGTAGATACAGCATTGGAGGCAGGGCCCTGTTAGATCCTATAAAAGTTGGTTAGTGGCACTTGAAGTCAAAAAGGTACAACTTCTCGGGTGTAAAATGAATAATAATAACCCTCTGCGATCATGAATTTGGGATACTGAAACAACACTGAAATGTTATTGGACTAAATGGATCAAATTCCAATAGTTAAATCAGAGGCAGATGCTCAAAAAATGTATCAACTGAATAACGGACATCTCTTTCACATTGTAAGCCTATGGGAAAACGTCTTTCTGGGCCCCATGGCATCATGTGACAGACCTCAAAGTTGTAAATCCACAGTTTGGCCACTATGACAAATTGGCTTCAAAGTCAAGCACTGTATTTGAGGGCTTGCTTGTGCCGACCTCACCTGTACATCGATCAATACTAGTTGAGAAGAAAAACGCAAAAATCCACTCAAAAGGGAGCCACACACCTCTATTGGGTCATGAGTGATGATTGAGAGGGATTACTTTTGTATGAGTCTATACATTGTTTTAGAAATACCCTGCGTAGCTGCGTAGCTTTGTTGATTTTGCTATTACATTGTACTTTTGAGACAGTTGCCTTTTTTGTTAAATGAAAAAAAAAATGAAAAAAGGAGTAGAAATACACATTTATATTCTCACTCTCCATCACAAACACACTGACTTATGCCTTAATGCTAAAAGTTACCTGTATGTTGACCTGATAGTCAGTGGGTCCATGTATTGAACCATACAGGCCAAAACCCACTATGGATATTCTTCTGTTAACATTGAATCTACAGAAGAAGACAGACACACAGAGACAATTAGACAAAAACTGTAACTGTACTTGAGTTCAGATTAACCACTGACCACAGATACTCGTCATCTCACCTGATTCTGTCGCTGGTACCACTGTACCCCCATCGACTCTCAACCTGCTGGAATCTATTAATACTGCACTCCTCCCCCCTGAGGCAGCAGCGGGGCCTGTCGATGTAGTCGACCCGTGGTTTGGGGTTTACTGTAAAGTGTAAAAACAGATTTACCACCTCCCGATCGAACAATATTCCAGACTGGGCAGGCCCTGTTGCACAAGAAAGAATATCAAGCTGGTTTCTGTGGTTTGAATTGTATGGACACATCAGGAACATGACGAATATGTTTGGCTCACATGGTCAGTACAGTGTTGAGAGAGAGAGAGAAAAAAAAAAGTACCATTACAGTAAGAGAAACGAGCTCTATTTGTGTGGTGCACTTACCTGCAGCAAACTCTTCAACAGTCATGAGCGGGAAGCGGATGAGCGGGAGGGCTTTCCCCAGAACCTTCTGTTTGTTCTCCGAGGTCGGGGGAAGCTGTTGTCTGTAACACTCGGCCTCCGCCCAGCGTACCACTGCCCCAAACAGGCGGTTCTCCCTGATGCTGAGTGTGTCTCTTTGTAGCACTGCACATAAAGTATCTACACATACAAACACACAGAATAATTGTCATTTCACATCCAAACAGCTAAAGAAAAGGAAATATTTGGTCAAGGAGTCTCACATACCGAGGTCAATATCTGTAAAGCCCTCAGCGTTTATTGCGTCCGCAGTGCTTTTGTCTATGGTGTCTAAGCAGAGACTGGCAAGCTGAGGCTCATCGAATAACCTTGCCTGTAACGAAAGCACAAAAGAAACCACATTAGTATCTATTAGATGATACCAGAGGTGGGACCAAGTCATTGTTTTGCAAGTCACAAGTACATCTCAAGTCTCAAGTAAAGACAGTGAATATATAACATAACATATTCATTACGAATACAGTCCATCTGATGCTTGTTTTGTTTCTGTTTTTCACCATTTCATCACTACTACAAATGCAACTGCAGCCAGTATCTCATTAACACTATCCTCATTCATATTTTAAGAAGCTACAAATTATATTCAGCCACAAAATAAACCTGAAAAGCTGGAAAACAGAACAGAAGTACAGAGAGTTGTTGCATAGAGATGATACACCGTCTCATCTAGTTGCATTGGTGTGAACCGGCAGGATTTTATTGCAGGTAGTTGCCTGTTTCAACTCCCCTTGTCGTGACTCTTTGGTCTGAACTGGGCTAAAAGTCATTACATTAGAGACTCAGTCTGATTGGAGTCCACACCTCTGGTCTGTATTTGTCATTTCATGCATCAAAATATTTTTAAAAAGCTGTAAAAGGAAAAAAATCATCATCTTAATTTACTAAACATTATGTAAGATCAAACAAACACATGTTGGAGGAAATAATATGGTCATTAAGTCATAATTAAGTCTCATAAATTCATGACTAATAAATCCTTTTTGGCAAATACATTGCTTAAACAAACTTCATAAAATTCTGATGAAATTTAAATGAATAACCAAGCATCGAACCTGGTAATTAAGACCACACTGTCTCATTTCTCTGGGTTGCTTTAGGTGGTTTTCAGATGACAGTTCTTTATGTTGCTGTGTTGTTAAAGGGGAAAAAACAGGGAGTGGTTTCTGATGAGAAAGCAGCTGAGCATGCAGCCTGAAGCATCAGGACAGAATGCTGAACCCAAACAAATGGCAGCATAAACCAAAAATAGAAACACTAATGTCATAAAAACACAACCATCAATGGCTGGGAGACGGTCTGATGAAGGTACAGAGAAAGAAAAATGGCTCCACTGTACGGGCTGCTGTCAGTCTCCAGCAGATGAAACAAAAAGGGCAAAACTATTATTACATTATTTCCTATATTGCTCCAGGAAACACTCTTAAAAAACAGCCCAAGCTGTTATTGAAACCCTGTATCGCTGCTCTGCTGTCAAATCCTCTTATTTTGGTGCCTTTTGCCTTTAAAGGGTGAGTTTACCTGAAATACTGTGAACGTATTTTCTCACTTCCTCCTGGTGGTGTCTGGCCAAACATTTTCTGCTGCCATCCCAGTAACACTGAGGTTAATTGGCATTTTATTAGTGCTGCTCAAAACATCAAAATATTTCATGTGGAAAACTGAACAGCAATTTGTGTTTACAGAAATAATGTCACAGTTGGTCTGGATAATCACCAGAAATCAATGTTAACGGTTTTTATAGGGACTACTTCTTTGATAGAAAGTAGATCCAGTGACCTCTGCATATGAAAACTGTAAAAGTATCTGAATGTGTCTGTATATCTAATATCTCTGGGGCTCAAGAGATAATTTTGAATTTAGTAATTTGGATAAAGTCTTTGAACAGAAACTACCGCACACTGCTCTTGCTTAGATTCACCACTTAATACACCAACATTTTGGTGTTCAACACCTGGTTTTGGCCCTCCTGGACCTTCGTCTAGAGAGATTAACCAAGTGTTGAACACAAGTTAACATCCAAGAGGACCGAAATATTAGTGTCACTAAAACTCGAGTGATATTTTCCAATGCCCCAGCATCTGAGACAGTTGGATGTGCGAATACCTTTCTTTAAACTAATTTGGATGACGTGAAATTTAAGGTGTCAAACCAGAGGTTAATGCCAGACAGTTCAAGTATCATGTATGTACTACAGTCTTATTTTAGTTTTGTATTTTTCATCAGTTTCTATTTTTATTTTGTGTATATTTTTCATTTTTAATTCAGTTTAGTTTCAGTTTTTTATCCAGAGTGAGTTTGCTCGTTTCAGTTTTGTTTTTATTGTTTAAATTTTTTTTAATTTTATTAGTTTCAGAATTAGGTTTAGTTCTTTAATTACAATACCTGGGGTGTTTGTCAGAGGCACAGTCACGTAGACATACTAGTCTCAATATACATATGCACAAATGCCTCCTGATGATTGTGTTGACAAAATTTGACCAAACCGACGATTAAAACTTAAGAAATATCTTGTATATTCTTTATCACATTTTAGTTAGTTTTGAAAGTGAACAACATTGTTTCATTTTTAGTTTTGTTGGGGCATTGGTGGTTTAGTGGGTAGAGCAGGTGCCCCATGTACAAGGCTGTTGCCACAGCGGCCCAGGTTCGAATCCAGCCTGTGGCCCTTTGCTGCATGTCATCCCCCCCTCTCTCTCCCCCTTTCATGCTTACCTGTCCTGTCCATTAAAAGGCAAAATGCCCCCAAAAATATCTTTAAAGTTTTAGTTTTGTTGTCAAGTCTAGTTTTTATTTTAACTTCAGCTACCTAAAATGTTTTTTCACACCTAGTTTTAGTTTTTAATTAACTGTAATAACCCTGATGTGCTATAAAGCAGACGTGACAGTAACCTGAGTGAGAAGCATGAACGCGTTGTCGGCTCTGAGGTGCTTGGTGAGGAACTCCACACAGTGACTCTCCAGAGCAGGGACCGCGTACTTCTTGGCCGTGTACAGGGTCGTCATCACAGTCTCCGGTCCAATGTGGACCTCGTCAGAATATAGGAACCTGCACAGAGGAAACAAAACACATGTACGGTTATGTCAGGTATTCAGGCTGCAGCATGATCACAGCTAAAGCAGAAATTCATTTACACAGTGGAGATGATGCCGTTAAAAAAGTCGGTGTTCCTTAAAAAGCCTCAGTAGTTCTTTCTGCTGAATCTGTCTGTCGCACTGAGAATTGAAAACTGTCGGACAGATTTATAGTCTTGTTTACTTATTCTCTTATCAGACAGACACATCATCATTTCGCCAATTTGAGATACAGCTGCTTGTCTTCAGAAAATTTGACACTTCCTTTCTCTTATTAAACCTGTACACTACATGTCAAAGTGTCCATTAGCACTCATCAGTCCCTGCTTGTGAGTGTGCATGTGAACATGTGAATGTTTATCTTGCACGGTAGCTTTGACCACAGGTGAGTAAGTGTTGCTTTTGTTGTAAAGCACTTTGAGTGGTCGCTAAGTGTTACAGTAATGCACTCAAAAACATTTCTGAGGATACCTAGGTCTAAAAAGCATGTGGGAAAAATATTCTGAAGGTACAGTGTACTAGGGCTGCACATTAGTCACACACATGGACTTGAAAAACACCAAAATATAAAATACTGTTGGTGATACATTTGTCAGACATTAACATAACTTCTTATGTTACATTGCAAACACAGAGCTTTGTCTCCTGTCTCGTTCTCTACAAATAAAATCAGCAACACAAAAAACAGGTTAAGTTTCTTTTAGTATGAACTTGACACAAACTGCAGCCCTTAAAATGAACATCATTGAGCAGTAAAACATGAAACTGACTTCATCTTCAGTCTCATCTAAATCACACGGCACCTGCCTGTTCCTGAAACTGCTGCTACTGTATCTGAACATTCCTGTGCACACAGAGATCTTTGATTTTTGGCTCAACTCTGTTTCACATACAGCTCCACACACAATGGTTTTCACCCGACAATATGTTTGTTATTTAACAGACCATCCTTCCATGTGCAACAGGAACAATGTGTACTGAGCACTGGGTTCCTGCAGCTGAAGGCAAGTTAGATTTAAGACTTTCTTTGACTTTTTAACGCTACTTGGACTGAAATTGAAGACACATTTCACAATAATCGAGATTAAAGGGAAAAAAAGAGATAAGGGACAATTTTGCCCAAATGTTGTAACATGTAACATGACTAGTCTTGTGGCGGAGATGAGGGTAGTACAGAAATGGGAAAAAGTTGCATTTGTTAGTGAGGTTTTTTTTTTTTGGCAATTTTGCATTTCTCACTCTGCCTGTGGGATTCCACTGTATCTAGTGTGAAAAACTTTCATCATAAATTACAAAGAGCTTGGTGTGCACTGACGGTAGTGGTTTTAGCAATGCTGCAAAATCTCAGTATTCATAAAATTTACACTTCCCCAGGGTGAAGTGGCAGCTGGGTAGCAGATCGTGGATCCTCTGCTCTGCAAATTCCAGACACAAACATATACGAGTGTTGTTGGTCCTGTTATGCTGACGTGATGTTAATGTGAGAGGTAGTCAGTAAATTATGAAAAAAAAAAAGACTTGATTATTTTAAGATTTTAAAATACAGTGTAAAACTAAAAATAACAATACTACGACTTCCTATATCCTACCATTCATAAGATTTTTTGAAAGATTGATTTAAGACATTTTCATACCATCTGAAGCCATATGTTTAGATTAATAAATTCAATGCCCTTTAAAGATCCACAGAAAACATGAAGTATGAAAAATATTACACTGTTTTGACAAATTAAAAATGAATCAGTAATACATAATGAAGATTACACCTCACTAATCCAGGGGTGTCCGTGCAAAATGTCCCAATTAAAAATCTCACTAGCCCATATTCAGGCACAAAAGACAAATCAACTAATGATGACATTCATTATAGATGTATCCGCTTATTCTTTCTTGATTAAATTATTGATTTTTGGTCTATAAATTGTCAGAAGATAGTGACAAATGCCCAAGGTGACATTTTTTATGTTAGACATAGTCACCATTGCATGAAATAAGTAGCAGAATCAGAGCCTATGAGCCATTTTAGCTTCGGAAAAAAAGACTAACAGTTATTGATTATCAGAATAACTGCAAATTACTTGGTTGTTGATCAGCTACTAATGCATTAATCGACTAATTAATTCAGCTCTGCACTGTACTATACTTAGTACTGCTTTTAAATCTAATGATCTGAAGGCTATACTATCAAATCTATCCACAGTTACTGTCAGGGTGTATCCATTTTGTTGTGCCCAGTGTACAGTGCAATAACTAAATTATACTCTCCTTCAAATGTAGCTGAAGCTGGATGTTGCAGATAAAGCACTAAGTGGGGCGTAATGTATCCGGTTCCTAGGATCCTATGGTCCCCAACTTAATATATTCTAAATATGGCACATTAATTAGACCGTATAAAGGGTTTTATGTTCTCAGCAGTGTATGTTTCCCTGGGTCAAAGTGTTGAAATCACCCATCACCTATCTCTTGAAACGTGTGCCTTTAATTTAGCTGGTAAACCAGTTTTATCTTGATATTTCCAGACTGCAAGGGCGGATTTCTACCATTCAAACTGCAGCTGAAGCTTCCATCTCGTACAATATTAATGTAACGTTATATCACGAACATGGGACACTGGGAGCACTGGGATGTACCATGGTGACCACCTGTCCTACCTGAGCAGGGCGAGGAAGGCTGCTGGCTCCACATCAGGCAGCTCTATCTCAGCCGAGGTCGTGGCCATCCCTCCGTTAAACATGGCATCAAACACGGCACTGCCAGCGGCCAGGACGAATTTGTGGGCCGGTATCCTCTGGGCCTGTCTGCCCTTCCCCACGATGAACCTGACGTCGCTGAGCAGCTCGTTGTTGAAGAGGAAGGCGAAGCGCTCCTTCAGGGAGCTCTTTGTCGCCTGCCAGTTGTACATGGGCTCCCGGTGAAGGCCGAGCACAGGCGGGGAGGCGGACCGGGCAGGACCGGAGGAAGCTGGCACGTTAGAGAGCACGGCTGCGGCGGATCCAGACTGAACCGACTGAACCGAGTTGGATGCTGTCTCCTGACCGTCATGGTTTGACGCTAAGCTGCCGCCGCCGCTGCTCCCGGTCGCCATAACGGCACGCCTCTATTTCTTTATTCTACGATGCGCCGTTAACGACACACGGAAGTAACGTTACACCGACCGCAGCGTCTGTGTCGGTGTTTATTTACGTGGTATCCATCGCGGCGGACGCCATGTTCTTTGATGTTTAGCTAGCTAGCTAGCTTTACCTGCTAGCTGCGTCTCTCCAGAAATGACGCAGGCACACACTTCCTTCAAAACACGTTTTTTTTTTTAAATTAAACTTTATTGCTGAGGTCAAGAGCAACAAAAATACAGTAACAAGAAAAAAAGAGAAAAATATACATACGAAATAACAACTCAAATCTATAATAAAAAGTTATGTTGACTAAATAATAATAATTATACACCATATATATGTATAATATATATAATATACAGCTATTACAAATACAGTATAACATGTTTCGACTGTCTTATTTAAGGAAGGTGATATAATGTCTCATTTACTTCAAATATAAATTAGCACTTTAAATGTAAAATGGTTAATTAACATTTAATTTTGCTTTGATAAAATAAATAAACCAAAGTGACAAGAAATAGGCCAAAAAGGGCAATATATACGCAATAAAGACTCAATACAAAAAAAGAAGAAGAAAGAAATAATAATAATCTGGTCATAAAAATGTGATGTACATTACAAATACAGTATAAAATGTTTTAACTTTCTTATTTAAGGAAGATGAGAGAGTAACAATGCGATGGCCCATTTACTTCAATGTGCAGCAAAGCAAAGTTTGATATTATTAGTAAATTAACATTTCATTTTGCTATAAAATAAGACAAACAAAGTGACAAGAAAGAGAGCAGAAAAGACACTATATACGTGATTAAGACTCAAAACAAAGGACAAATGAATTAATAAATTAATAAATAAATATCTAGATAAAGATATGATGTACATGTTAAATACAGTATAAAATATTTTAACTTTATTATTTAAGGGGGCTGGAACAGTAGCAATATAATGGCCCATTTATGTCAGTGTGCACCAAAGCAAAGTTTGTTTTTATTTGTAAATTAAGATTTGATTTTGCAATAAAATAAGACAAACAAACAAAAGTGACAAGAGAGAGAGCAGACAGGCACTAAATATGCAATTAGGACTTAAAACAAAGGATGAATAAATAGATAACAAAATAATCTAACTATCAAGATAAAGATGTGATGTACATTACAAATACAGTACAGCCTATACATTTTTTTGACTTTATTATTTAGGGAGGGTAAGATAGTGGCAATATAATGTCCTGTTTCCTTCAAATGTGAGATGAAGAAATGTTTGTTTTGTTAATATTTTAACATTTGTGGATGGACGATTTTGCCATAATAAAAATTTGATATATGGACGAGGAAGAATGAGGATAAGCAGTCGTATATTTTCATGATTACATAGAAAGAAAGGAAAAGTTTTATATAATCTAGGCTATATACACTATTTTTTAAACTAACTTTTAAAGTTGTTGTTATCTAATAATAATAATAATACATAGCATAAATAAACAAACATGTCAACAATAATATATAGGCTTTGCATCTGTATGAACTGTGTGGAAAATAATAAAAGTAGTGCCCTTTCAAATTTCAACAGATTCTAATCAGTTTTGGTGACTACAATATAAACTACATTTTTATTCAATAATTTATTGAATTTATTTATCTCTAAATCAGATAATGAACATATAATATACATCAATGATATATGTAAAAGTACACACATGCAATAAACACGTTTTACATTTATATTTAGAATTAAAATCATTTGCTTGTTGTTTAAATTAAGTATCCTGCTCCCTGCTTGAAGTTCTTCAATCGGCCGCCAGATGTCAGAGTTTTCACTTTCACTGAAGAACATAAACAAACCTTCAGAGTCTATTTACAGATGATAATGATGAAAAATAAACCAATTATAGTCATTCTAACACTATAATGCAAGCTCGTCTATCACATACAGCTGCGATAAGACGCTCCGTCACAGCCGGTCAAGTGTGTGTGTGTGTGTGTGTGTGTGTGTGTGTGTGTGTGAAGGTAGGAGGCAGAGAGGTAGAGGAAGAGAGACAGAGGCAAGAGTGTGGAAGCGAGAAAGACAGTGCAAGACAGAGCATGCCTGCTGCAGCTGAATGAGTTTGTTCCTTACCTTGTTTACATTGTTGAACACATCGTGACTTTCCCCTCCTTCCTTCAGACATGGCTCGCAGACTCAAAAGGAGAGAGTTCAGTGGCTGATTGGTTTTACATTTCCAATTCTCCTACAAGACAAATCGCTCAAACCTGGTCCGCAATGAGCGCGTCTGCAGGGACGGGAGTGTTCGTGCTCTCCCTGATGTCCATCCCCATCTGCTATTTATTTAATTCCCTCATTCACAGCAACAGGTGAGTGACAATAAGCCTTTTATTTTATTACCTACAATGCTCTGCTATGAAAAAACAGCACCAGTGGAGCAGTTTTTACTTTCTAAGATTACTTGTCAGATTTTTAAAAATACGTATGAATTGTTTTTTACATTGCATTTAGTGCTGAAGCCTTCCTATTCGCTGGGTGTTCAACAGTCATCATCCTGGCCATTTCAGTGAGTTGTATGCTCAAGAAGAAGGCTCCAGCAGATCCTATTTTCTATGGTACGAATACATAAATGCACGTTCCTTGTAAAGACCAAAGCATTTTTTAATTTTTGTAGTCGTAAATGAGAAATATTGATTTAAAATTAAATCATTGGCCATACATCTTAATGTCCTGTCTGACTTTTAATCAAAATAAAGGGAGTTATGTGTTATTTTGTGCAGTTTTACTCAGATAAAACTAAAGTATGCATGTTTCCCAGCAGTCTATGCAGTGTTTGCATTCCTCAGTGTGGTGAATCTGATCATCGGGCTGGAGCAGGACAACATCATTGATGGATTTGTGACGTTTTACCTCAGAGAGGCAAGTGTTGGGTTGCGAGTCCTGGTTGTGAGTTGTCCTGCATTGCACACATTTGTGCTGATAAATCTACCCTGTGTTTCAGGCAGATCCACATATCAATACAGCACATGGGCACATGATCTCCTATTGGGATGGCTGTGTGCATTACCTCATGTATTTGCTCATGATTGCTGCAATCACATGGGGGTAAGATATAATATATCCGCCTCTATCTATCTATCTGTCTATCTATCTATGTGTTCATCTGACTTTGACAATGGCTGTGTTTCATGCCTTGCACAGGGACAGTTACCGAGCCATTGGACTCTACTGGGTGGGATCTTTTCTCATGCGTGCCATAGTCTACATTCTTGGGAATGCTGTGGGTGAGTACACTAAAAATAATGGGTTGCTTTTAGCTGTCTAGTGTAGGGTAGCCTGTGTAACCCCCTGTACATACCTCCTCTGAGAAAACTACAGTGTAGTCTAGAACAGTGGTTCCCAACTGGTCCAGATTTCTCCTTAGTCATTGCTTCAAGGTCCACACAGTTGAATACATTCAGTATCATACTTGCGTTTGGCCATGTCATCGGGCTAGTTTGTCAGTTGTGAGTCATTTGTGGTCCATTTGGCATGGACCCATGACCCACTTTTGGATCACGACCCACCAGTTGGGAACCACTGGTCTTTGTGTGTTTTGCTTTGTGGCTCCCCACAGTGAGATATTATGTTGTTTTGTCTTTTCCCAGGGAAATATGGGACCCAAGTGACCCCTCTCTTCCTCCTCCACATGTTATATATCGCAGTGTCTGTGTGGGCCTGTTTCCGCGTCTTCAGCCAGCCCTCCACACGGGACGCTCAGTTGACCGTAAGGCAGTGATTATAATGACTAGCTGGTATGTGGAGCTAGAACGTATGTGATAGTTCGCAGTTTTAAATATCATGTTGTTGCTTTTTCTCAGGACATCCAGAGGGATGGAAGAAAAGGTATACTCCAAAGACCTCAAGACTTACTTTTCGTCATCTACCTCATCCCTGCTTTTGCTTTCTGTGTCTTCAGAGGCCTGGTAAGAAAACTAAAGATGATCAATTGCCCAGTGCATGGTAGCAGAGAAAACATTTCATATATAGAGTGCGTCTGTATATTTTTTTTTAGGTTGTTCTGGACTATTCCGGCAAATGGTATCAGGGCTACACGCAACATTATGAGCCTTACCTGAAAGACCCTTCAGCCTATCCTAAAGTACAGGTAACGCAGCGAAGCTATAAACACCAAACTTTCACACACTGACACATCATTACTCAAATCTCTGAAGCAGTACATTTTATCCGTGTTCGTCAGATGCTGGTGAGCATGCTGTACTCCGGACCATACTACATCATCACTCTCTACGGGCTGATGGTGCCAGGATGTGAGTGGATGCCAGACCTGACTCTTGTACACTCGGGGGCACTGGCACAGGTACATCCTGCAGGTTATTCCTCGCTTTAATGTCAGTGCTTGGTATTTTTAACCCTCACTCAACCAACCTCTGGAAACTGAATCCGAATCAGAAAAAGACATTGCTGAGTAGGGTTTCTCTTACAAAGAATTTGCCTCGGTGTTTGCGTACAATAACTATAGAATAACATAATAAAAGGAAGTAAAGATAAAGAAAAAGACTTTAACAGTCAAGAAAAACTACAAAATGATACCAAACAAATGCAATAACATAACAAATATTATGTACAATATAGCTGTGGGGGTCCCGGGCCCTGCAGCCTACATCCTTGTGCCAGAGGGGAGTGGTTCAACCAGTTGTGTCTCGGGTGGGAGGGGTCGATCACAACCTTTCCTGCGTGCCTCAGAGTCCTGGGAATGTTCAGGTTCTGGAGGGACGGCAGATTGCAGACAATCACCTTCACAGCAGCGTGAATTATACACTGCAGTCTGCCCTTGTCCTTGGCAGTGATAAAAGCATACCAGATGGTGATGGAGGAGGTGAGGATGGACTCAGTAATGGCAGTGCAGAAGTGCTCCATCATTATCTTTGGCAGGTTGAACTTCTTCAGCTGCCACGTGAACCCATCTTGAGCATGGCAAACTTCATGGGAGAGGACCCGCTCCTTATGTAGATATAAATGACTCATTCCAAGGTAAAGAACCTGGACCTGTAAATCTCCTCTGAAAACATTATTTCTTAAGCAAACCTGTGTATATTTATATATTTGTACTTTTATTCACTCTTGCCATCTTATGTTTTTATCTACATTATTGTAGTAAAAGAAGAAATCCTAAAACCTATTTTTAAGACAAAAATATCCTCCTGCGACTCTGTGTCCTCACATGTGGACATCACATTTTGGGTTAACTTGACCTTATACTTAATTCTACTTCACTTAGACCTGTTGTCCTTGTTCGTGGACACTATTTATCCCATCTAGTGGTAGTAAGAGCACAATACACTAATCCACGTAAAACAAGATGGCAGCCATCTCTGTCAAGTCAGTCTGCAGCCGATCCCAGCACAAAAGTGGACAAGGTCCAAAACCTGATCACATTTTATGGTTGAAACTTGTTTATTTATGATTTATAATGTTTGTAGTTTGATATGGCAACACATATGACCAATTTAAGCAACAGTAATAAGCTAAGACACTGTTAATTAGGAAGTACTTGTTTGAGGACATGACTTTAGTGTTGTCCTGTTGGAGGATATTGGGACTTAATTATCATTGGCAATGTTTAGTTTTTTATACTCATTGGGTCCTACTGATCCCAAATAGCTCGGAGAAATTGGAAATGCATATCAAACAAAACTTCGGGTCTCAGAAAGATATCTAAAGCATTTATTTGTCATGTACCAGTGAATTAATTTTTCTAAAGGTGTCAATTTTAGCAGAATTACTGAACATTTAGGAAACCAAACCTGTAGATGATGTCTTTAATTTAACAACATATTTCCAAGCTACACTGAAGGTAATACTGAGCCATCAATCTCTAACCCTTTTTATAGACCAACTCAGATGTAATGATAGCCAAAATATCAACATATTGTAGTGTTTGTAATCATAGGGAAGAGTTCTGGGCAAGATCTTTTCCCACATGACATATCTACCTGGAACGATGATGTCATGTGGGAATCAATGCAAGACCGAGAGTGGGCATCTGGCCAAGTCAAGGCTGTTCCCAAACGTACTCCTCTAGCATATTGTGTACTGAGTTCTGTTTAGGTTATTCTTCAGTGCAGTCAAACACAAGTGGCTTGGCATGAACAGATATGGTCTGAGTCAGCGTCATATACGCTCTCTGTTTACATCTAAAGATGGAAACTGTGAAGAGCGGTGGGAGCAACTAGTGTGCCAATCAGAGCCTAACAATACAAAGCAGCTATTGTGTTTGAGCTGCAGGCTGGCACGTCACTCATCGGCGGGATAAGGGCAGACGCTGACTTCAGACCAAGAGGAATGGCGGTAATGGAGGTATTCACTTAAATGTCAGCTGTTCAACTCAGCTATTAATAGGAGAGCTGATGCTCCGCTGGCTGTGGTTGCTATGAGACATGCCATGTGTCTTTTTTCTCAGTTTCTTTCTTTATGAAAAGGTAACTAGTGAGAGTCTGTTATACTGAAAAATACTAAAGTAGGAGTGACAGTACCAGAATTTATCCAGGTTTAACCGGTCATTAGTCCATTAAAGGAACAATCCACCATAAAACAATTGTCCCCTGAGCTTATGTCGGAGTGTCAAACTCATTTTTAGATCACATACAGCCTAATTTGATCTCAAGTGGGCCGGACCTGTAAAACCATTGCATGATAACCTATAAATAGGTTTAAATAACAACCTCTTCAACTTTTCCCCTTTTTTAGTATAAAAAGCACATTCTGAAAATGTTCATTCGTTTACAAAACAAATGATGAATAGCCTGCGATATCCTGAGAAAAATATGTGCAAATTAAACAGTATGTCTCATTTTTTCCACATTTAGTCAGTCTATTACTCACTGTCATTTCATGCACATTTTTTTTCATAGTTTTCTACTCCAAGTGAAGTGGAAGCTGTTGAAGAAGCAAGTTAAGTCATCCGCTGCCCCACAGACCATTTACAATTCTAAAGTTTTATCAGAGCCTCAGCAGCAGGGTTCTACCCTTATAGGTTTAAGATAGAAGTCTGATACAAATTCTTTTGTATTGAAGCTGCTGGTTGACAATATTATACACAATGTTCAATATATTTAAATATGGCCACAGTAAGTATTCATTGTTATTTCAGAGAGCTGTATTCTGGTCAGGGTGGAAAAGCCTCTGAGGCAGTGTTTTACATGAAGTATCTACTCGCTGTTTAAATTGCTCTTGAAACCTTTTCACATGTGAATCAATATTAGGTGTGCAAAGTCATCTAGTGGGCCAGATTGGAACCTTTGGCGGGTCAGTTCTGGCCCCTGTTCTGGCTCATGTTTGACACCCCTGGCTAATGTTGTGTTTTTACTTGTGTTTTCTTTTAATTATTCCTTTGTATGAACTGTAAAATGCAAACAATGTAATGTAATGTAAAGATATGTCAAAGATTGCTTCAAAGCACTTTGATAGGATACCTTTATCAGCAAGCATCAAGGATTTGGTGTCAGAAAATTTCAAAAATCAGAAGTGATCCATAGGGGTAGATTGTGAAACATGATAGAGAATAATAAGAAAGTAGAAATAAGAAGTATGAATATAAAGGTTGATAAAAGTATGTAAAAAGATGTGCATTGTGCTACACTGTTTAACACTAGTATGTTAAATATGTAAAAAAAATATAAAAATATGTGTGATATACTAAGTATGTAAGTACAAAGTAATATAGAAATCTGGACATTATGCTCCAATGTACAACAGAAGAATATATTTCTTTTTTAAATGATAGAGAGTGAATTAAGCTACTGAAAAGAATATTGCACATTTGAATAATTGCACCAGTTATTTCCCTCTAGATTCACACTTTTGCACTGACACTCAGCACAATAACCAAAGCAATCAGCTTTAACTGTAGAAAAGACAAAGGAAGCAAACTCTAAACAAGATCTAATTGGACTAGAATGCAATGTAATACATTTTAAATAGCCTACAGGAAAATGATAAATCTGGGAAAATAAGTAAATCTTTCACTAAAGAGGACTCAAATAGAAAAATACACATCAAAACAAAATCAGTCTTTGAATTAAAGGTCAAACTTTATCTTAGTTTGTATTTTTTCTCTCATATAAAAATGGTAATTTCCTCATAAAATCCCAGCCAGATTTTATTTGAAAACTAAATCACTTTTGCTTTTGTATAATAAAAGAGGAGTTTGATGTCTGTTTTTGGATATCAGTGAGACATCATCATCATGCAGCTGTTACATAAAAAGTTAACTGCGGCCTTTTACTCATCACTGTCATTTTCCTGTTCCTCCCTCTCTGCTTCACTTCACAGGCACAGTTCACTCATATTGGCGCATCTCTTCACACACGGACGCCATTCTCCTACAGAGTCCCTGCAGATGGCCAGTCTGTCTTCTTGCTTTTCAATATCCTGTATGCTCTGGTGCCTCAGGCTCTGTGCTACCGCTGCTGCACCAAACCTGCCTTCTTCCTCAGACCAACAGCAGATAAGAAGACTGAATAAAGGAATGTGACAGCCAAGAATGTCAAGGATGCCTAAGTAAAAGGCTGAAGTACTTGCAAAGTACTGCTCTGTGTTTGCAGTTATTAGCAGTTGCTATTTTTGGAGAGGGAGATACCACCTTTGACCTTAACGAAGGCTAAGTGGACATATTGGAAAGATGACAAAAATACTTCAATGTCAAACAGAGTTTGTGCCATCTAGCATTTATGTTTTGCTGCTTATTTTGAAAATGTGAACATACGATACATTTGAATGGAAGTGTGTTTGTTTGTTTGAAGCAACAGGAAGGCCCTTACACAGTACACACAATAATGGTTTAAAACGTGTGTTTGGGATTCAAACTACTTGACAATATTTACTGCTCGTATATGTACAGTACAGGCCAAAAGTTTGGACACACCTTCTCATTCAATGCGTTTTCTTTATTTTCATGACTATTTACATTGTAGATTCTCACTGAAGGCATCAAAACTATGAATGAACACATGTGGAGTTATGTACTTAACAAAAAAAGGTGAAATAACTGAAAACATGTTTTATATTCTAGTTTCTTCAAAATAGCCACCCTTTGCTCTGATTACTGCTTTGCACACTCTTGGCATTCTCTCCATGAGCTTCAAGAGGTAGTCACCTGAAATGGTTTCCACTTCACAGGTGTGCCTTATCAGGGTTAATTAGTGGAATTTCTTGCTTTATCAATGGGGTTGGGACCATCAGTTGTGTTGTGCAGAAGTCAGGTTAATACACAGCCGACAGCCCTATTGGACAACTGTTAAAATTCATATTATGGCAAGAACCAATCAGCTAACTAAAGAAAAACGAGTGGCCATCATTACTTTAAGAAATGAAGGTCAGTCAGTCCGGAAAATTGCAAAAACTTTAAATGTGTCCCCAAGTGGAGTCGCAAAAACCATCAAGCGCTACAACGAAACTGGCACACATGAGGACCGACCCAGGAAAGGAAGACCAAGAGTCACCTCTGCTTCTGAGGATAAGTTCATCCGAGTCACCAGCCTCAGAAATGGCAAGTTAACAGCAGCTCAGATCAGAGACCAGATGAATGCCACACAGAGTTCTAGCAGCAGACCCATCTCTAGAACAACTGTTAAGAGGAGACTGCGCCAATCAGGCCTTCATGGTCAAATAGCTGCTAGGAAACCACTGCTAAGGAGAGGCAACAAGCAGAAGAGATTTGTTTGGGCCAAGAAACACAAGGAATGGACATTAGACCAGTGGAAATCTGTGCTTTGGTCTGATGAGTCCAAATTTGAGATCTTTGGTTCCAGCCGCCGTGTCTTTGTGAGACGCAGAAAAGGTGAACAGATGGATTCCACATGCCTGGTTCCCACTGTGAAGCATGGAGGAGGAGGTGTGATGGTGTGGGGGTGTTTTGCTGGTGACACTGTTGGGGATTTATTCAAAATTGAAGGCACACTGAACCAGCATGGCTACCACAGCATCCTGCAGCAACATGCCATCCCATGCGGTTTGCGTTTAGTTGGACGATCATTTATTTTTCAACAGGACAATGACCCCAAACACACCTCCAGGCTGTGTAAGGGCTATTTGACCAAGAAGGAGAGTGATGGAGTGCTGCGGCAGATGACCTGGCCTCCACAGTCACCGGACCTGAACCCAATCGAGATGGTTTGGGGTGAGCTGGACCGAAGAGTGAAGGCAAAGGGGCCAACAAGTGCTAAACACCTCTGGGAACTCCTTCAAGACTGTTGGAAAACCATTTCAGGTGACTACCTCTTGAAGCTCATAGAGAGAATGCCAAGAGTGTGCAAAGCAGTAATCAGAGCAAAGGGTGGCTATTTTGAAGAAACTAGAATATAAAACATGTTTTCAGTTATTTCACCTTTTTTTGTTAAGTACATAACTCCACATGTGTTCATTCATAGTTTTGATGCCTTCAGTGAGAATCTACAATGTAAATAGTCATGAAAATAAAGAAAACGCATTGAATGAGAAGGTGTGTCCAAACTTTTGGCCTGTACTGTATATTTTTTGGTAGTTTTTTGGTTACAAAAACTGCTTCCTTGTTGACACTGAGGTTTCTTTGCAGTGCCTTTTTGCTGATGGGTTGGCAAATAAATCATTCACTTGTGTGTCTGGGTGTTTCATATTTATACGCACATAGATATTTAACCATATAAGGACATTTTATAAACAAAAAGGGACTGTTATTGTCGTGTTTAGAATTACTTGTAAAGTCTGATGGCACTAGTCAAACTGAGAATGTGTGAGTAGTTTTGTTGCACTTTTTCTGTTTTTAGCAAATAAAGCAAATAAATTGGAGATGTTTATATTAGGAATAAAAAATGCAGTAATTTCCCATGGCGAAACATGGAAAGAGTTTTGTTGAATTTGCTATAAATAGCCGACTGCATTTGTAATAAAGTACAAAATACTGTATAAAATTCATCCTACAAGACAAGATTGAAAGCTTTAGGAAATGTGAAATAATATTTAAAATATATGTGAAGTAAAAAAAGGTAACAAAAATGTATTCAATCTCTAAATTTCTCCAAAAAAATATACACAAAACAAAAAAAAATTCTGTCGGATTTTAAACCGGAAGTACTTCGTTCTCACTCAATTACTTCCTGTTACTCATTAGCCAAACAAATCCGCATGTAGCTTAGTAGCCAAAGTTTACAACAAAAAGAAATTATTCATTCAGTGATATCATATTTCTGAGAAACAAAGTCAACTTCGGAAATAGCTTATGCACTCAGAGATTATTAAATTTTGTTTTTAACAAAACGCGGAAGAGAAGACGTAGCTATGGTTAACGTTAGCCGAACATGCTAACTAACTAGCCATCGTTAGCTATCGTTAGCTCTAATGGCTGCACCAACTCCACTGATGTCTGCTCCTGTGTTAAGGTCTGTGTCTCTTTTTATATCACGTTGAGGTACTTTGATAATCTAATAATGTCTGGGTGGTGGACGATAATAACACAATAAACAGTAACGTTAAAAACGCCACTACAATAAGTTAATACAGCAGACTTAATATGGCTACTAACGCTACGTCACGATGTTAAAGCTTAATCTGTGTAAAACAGTATGTAAAGTATATTGAGGTAAAGAGACAGTATAATGATAGAGTGACAGTCGATGAGCTCAGGAGGTCAGCTGTCTTATGGCCTGTGGGATGAAGCTGTCCATGAGCCTGGTGGTGCAGGACCAGGTGCTAGGCACGAGTAGGCAGAACAATTTGTGGCAAGGATGATTTGGGGTCTCTGATAATCCTGTGGACCTTCTTCCTATGCTGCTTGGTGTGAAGAGGATTCTTGTTTAAAATGTAATCTTTTTGTTTTAGTCAAAAGCAACGCAGGGCTGCTCTGAGGAAAGAGAGAAGGAAACGGAAACGCCAAGCTCTCGCCCAAGCCAGAGAATGTGGTACGAATCTGTCATCAGATGTGACAACTTGTCATTCCTACACTTGTACCTGCACTAGATGGCACATCAATTACAACATTTATACTGTTATAGGTATAAAAAATGAAGTAAGCTGCACACCTGAAGAAGAAGAAGAAGAAATAGAAAAAAATGATGAAGATGATGAGGATAATGTTGCTGCAGAGGAGGAAAGGTTTGTCAATAATAACGTCACTCTACTGTAGCTGCAGCTGCACACTCAGTGACAGACAGCACAGGAATCGTACAGTTTTCTATTTTTAATCTTCATTGTGTTTGATTTGTGTCTGACTTGTGTTCTCAGACTGCGGCTGCATGAACAGTGGTTGGAGAGAGAGAGGCTGGCCCAAGAGGAGTTCAGGCTGAGGGCTGAGAGGGAAGAAGCTGCAAGGAAAAGAAAAGAGGAGGAGGAGGTAATATACTGTTTGTATTCATCATAGAGAGCAAGTGCAATTTGACAAATTTTGAAAACATACACTTTGTAAATATAGCAGGTTTAAGGGTGCTAATGTCTTCAATCCAATGTTGTACTGTTGGGGTAAGCTGGAGTTTAATAACAGTGTGGCATGTCTGATGAGACCATAGAGACTTGGCTTGATTTTATAATGCTTTACTGAAGACAATTCTGGAGACACTCTATAGTATGTTTTCCTGTTGTCAAAGAATCCACTGGAAAGACCAAAACAAACAATGAATTTATCCCACTCAGAAGTCTTTTCTGTGTAGTGATATAGCGTATTGCTCTGTGCCGTAGAGAAATTTAATTGCACAGCCACAAGTGACGTTTCGAGCCAAGGCTCTTCTTCAGACTTTGCTACACATGCAAAGACACCTTTTTCTTGTTAGTGATGGCATCTCTATATGATTAACAAAGTCTGGAGAAGAGCTTTAGCTCAAAACTTCACTTGTGGTTGTGCCAATAAATTTCAATTAGAGGCACTACAGCAGTGCGGACCTTTGTTCGTGTTTTCATTCAGCCTTCTACTGGTTCAACACCTGCCTTAAGCGGTATTTAAATGCGTTGGACTACTATGCTTGTCTGTGCCGTAGAGCTCCACAGTTGTCCAAAAACTTGTAAAAACAGATGAGCCACACTGTTGCACTGGGGGACATGTTCCCTAATTGCAATGAACACAGACTGTGCTTCTGTAAATATTCACTAGAGCACCATTTATGACTCGCTTAGCTTGAGCTAAAGTAACTAACACTGATTACATTTCCCACATTCTTAAGGAAAATCTAAACACTTGAGGCTTTTGAAGATCTACAAACAAATAAAAAAGCTTGATGTTGTGTTGACTATTAGGCTGATTGATGAGCTGCATGTTTGACATATTGTTTTAGATAACTGGTGTAATGTCTTTTTGTGTTCCCAGAGAATGATAAAGGAGGAATGGGAGGCCCAGCAGAGGAAAGAGCAAGAAGAAAGAGAAAAGAAGCAGCAGACAAAGCGAGACAGAGAGGTGAAACGGGCCCCGGGAGGATAGAAACAAAAAGAAATATATCCTCTTCTACTTAATCACAATTATTTATATCACCCATCTAAAAGGAATCCAAGGGTCAGATATTCATATAGCAATTATGTTTCTTTTGTAAAATGTGTTTTTGCTTTGTACATGGTTTCTTTTTAAAAATTTCCTTGACTTAGTGACACAAGCAACCGTCCAACTCCTCAACTAAGACACACACAAAGAGAAAAACCCTAACAGCACCTTCAGCTCTCACAACAAGGATGTATCTTTTACTTTGTGTGAAACAGTCTGTGACCTTGCTTTCCAAAAGTCCAGAAATTTTGAAATGCCAGTCCTCATGAGTGTGATCTTAACACAGAGTGACAGATCTGCTGCAGTATGTTGATCTCTACACATTTTCACCAGCCGTGTCTTTACACCATTTGTAGGAGGCCGTTCAGAAAATGTTGGATGAAGCTGAAAATCAGGTAGAAACACACACAAATGTCATGTTACATTGATACCTGTATGTTGATCATTTTAATTTCTTCACAATTAGTACTCTACATGGGTAAAAAAAAAAAAAACTGTCAAGAAGCATTATTTGTGTTACAGAAATACACACAATATGTATTTCAAAGAAAAAACCTCCTAGATCTCCCAAGTTGCTGGATATTTCAGTGTATCCTATTCCTAATGTCATAGAACTCAGCTGAGTTAAACCTCACACAAAGGACAGATGAAAGCATTCAAGACATTGTGGCTATAAAAATAACCTGCCCAATATATCATCCAGGTTCATAAATCAGAAGTTGTTAGCTCATTGCTGATATATCATCTTGCAGTATATGTCTGCCGAAGCAACAAGAAATATCATGTTTATGTTATCATGTTTATACATTTCATGTACCTTTTTCTTTTGAAAAAATCTCATTCTAGTTTATAGTCAAACTATCATGTATATTTTAAATTTTGTACATGTTCTCACAGCTAGAAAACGGAGAACCATGGATGAATCCTGAGGCTCCTGTGAAGGAGAGCTCTGAGAACTTCGGAACAGAGCGCGATGTAGCCAACTGTCCGTTCTTCCTGAAGACCGGGGCGTGTCGATTTGGAGACAGGTACTATTCGTTTCTCTTTTCACATGACATGCCACGTTAAATTCACAAACCTGGTATTTCAGAGAGTGAATGTCTTAGTCTTTGTTCATGTTTTTGTATATTCTCCTCTCTTCTGTCTGTGTGCGTCCAGATGTTCTCGGAAACACGTTTATCCCACATCCAGCCCGACTATGGTGATCCGTGGTATGTTTACAACGTTTGGCATGGAGCAGTCACGCCGTGATGATTACGACGTTGATGCTTCTTTGGAACACAGCGAGGAGGACCTGCAGGAGTCTTTCCTCGAGTTCTACCATGATGTCCTGCCGGAGTTAAAGAGTGTCGGCAAGGTGGTGCAATTCAAGGTGAGATGAAATCAGTAGCCAGTAGCCCTTTTTAGACAGAGATCCTATAATTCTGCCTCGACAAAGTCCCTTCATTACACTGCCTTTGCTTTTTTACACTGAACCAAACAACACTGGCATAATCTGCGTCTAGTGTGACGTGTAATATACATGTCAAGAAGCGCTCTAACATTAATAAAAATCATTTGCAGTCCCTGTTATATAGCAGCTGTTCTCGCCCTCTTATTGGAGGGTAAGGAGCTCCTTGACCTCATTGTCTCCCCAGTTTGCGGACATTTTCAGTTGCTGTGGGTCTGGGTCACACATGTAACATGTCATCAAAACGTCCCACTTATCCTGTCCTGTCAGCTGACACATTACACAGACTTAGATTCAGCACTGTTACTATCTCTGCAGCTGGCGAGAGAACTCTGCCCCCCCATTCTGCGATCGTACCTTTTATACAGGACGGCAAATCAGAATAACGGCCCAACATTCCCACCTTGAACAGGCAGTGTAAAAGGGACTTCACTGTGTTACAGTGAGCTCTCTGAAGTATTCCATTATCTTTATGTCATCTTGTTTTCATGTGTATGAGAAACACGGTTTCTGTAATCAGAGCAGGAAATTGGAAACCCAGATTTCCCAAGATAGATTTCTCTGCCATGTGTACATGTAACTGTGTTTTATGTATATATATACATTATTACCACTAAAAATGCTGTTTTGTTTCATTGATCTTTTCCTTCTTAGGTCAGCTGCAATTATGAACCACACCTGAAGGGAAATGTTTACGTTCAGTTTGATACGTAAGCCGTCACACAACCGCTCCACGACTTTTTCCAAATAAATAAACTGTATAGTGTTTAAATTTTTGAATAAATCTCTTCACTTTTTGTCTGTCTGTTGTCTGTCCAGAGAGGAGCAGTGTACAGAAGCCATAATCAGGTTCAATGGGAGGTGGTACGCAGGCCGGCAGCTTCATTGTGAGATGTGTCCTGTTACACGGTGGAAGAACGCCATATGTGGTAAGATATTCATATTGATGTATGATAAAGAGACATTTTCACTCTGACATTGCTGCAGAAATACAAGATTCACTTTAGTGTATTTGTTTAGTGTATTTACTTTTTTGGTTGTGTTTGTATTTCCTCTTTCAGGATTGTTTGACAGACAGAAGTGCCCCAAAGGGAAGCACTGCAATTTCCTGCATGTATTTCGAAACCCTGGCAATGAATTCTGGGAGGCTGACAGGGATCTGCACTTGTCACCAGACCGCAGCATCAGGGGGAGTCGAAGAGACGGGTGGCATTCAGAGCGATTCGGAGATCGATCGTGGAGGCAGCGTCAGAGCAGCAGAAGCCCGCCGAGATCTGAGAGGTCCCACAGCAGGCGAGAGAGCGACAGGCGGAGGAGCAGGAGCAGAGAGAGGAGCAGAGAGAGGAGGGCCTCCTACCAGCACAGAGAAGACAGACGATCATCCAGACACAGTGACAGGAGGAATGACTGGTATCTGAGCAGAAGTAGAGACAGGTCGAGGAGTAGAAGTAGAGACCGAGAGCAAGACAGGCCGAGACACAGGAGCAGAGATAGAGACAGGGAGCACAAGTATAGAAATAGAAGCGAAGAGAGAGACAGCAGAGACACAGACACAGACACTCGTGGAAAAGTGAGAGAAAGGTCAAGAAGCTCAAGCAGTGATGGAAACAAGAAAAGTAGAGAGAAGAGCCCCAAGAAGGCAGACAAAAAGGATGGTAACACACGTCGACGCCACAAACAGTCTAAAAAGAGCAAGAAGAAGACCAAGAAAAAGCACAAAAAGAAGAGCCGTTTGCCTGAAGAGACAAGCTCATCTGGAGAGTCAGACAAGGGGAGAGAGTCAGAGGAAGAGACTGTGAAGAGCCTCACTGTGGCCAGTCCAAATGAAACAGAGCTTATTCAGAAAAGCAACGATGTGGATGAGAGTCCGTGTGTTAAGAGTGAGCATTTAAGTCCTGAGATGAAAAATGAACAGTCTAACACAGAAATGCCAAGTGAGCCTGCTGGAAATGATGACACGAGTACCTCTTAGTGGCTTCGACTAGGGACGATATTCTGGTCAGTTGGTCGATCAGTTGGTCGATAGGCTCGACCAAGTTGTCATTAGTTGGACAATCGCTGGTGTTACTTTGGTAAGGCTGTGTGTTCACCGAAGCATTTTTCCCAGCTTAAAACACCAGGCACTCCTCTGAAAACACCCAGTTGGGAGAGCACAGCACAGCACATCGTTTTATCAGCTGAGGTGCTTTAGTTGCATCTGGTTGCTTTCATACGGAATATCTGCGGAAGTAAAAATATTGGCACAAGATGGTGTACTTTTCTCCGTATGAAGGAAAGGCTAAAACACATAGGAAGAGAGGATGGACCAGCTGGTCTAAGTGGCCAGCACCATTTATTTCTCCTTCATTCATGCTCTCCTATGTTGTTTTTTTTTTGTTTGTTTAGAACTTGTACATGTAGGACGTGATGGTTGGTCTTTGTGGTATTGATTCTGTTTGTCCTCCACTGTGATTGGACAGCTTGGAAGAAAGTTACAGTGACAGGCACAGCATTACTCAAAGAAGTGGCGCTGTGATGGTTGGTTTTTAGTGGTATTTATTCTGCCTCTCCTCCACCGTGATTGGACGGCTTGGTAAAAAATGACAGTGACAAGAGCAGCATTACCCAGAGAAATGGCGCTGACCAAAGTTTAACATTTTTCAACTCGGTGACCAGAAAAAATGCCAAACGTGCAGCGCTTGATGTCTCATCAGGCTGCTGCCGTTTGTAGCGTAGTGTATATGTGACGCTCCCATTGCAAAAAATTAAGAAACTACACTGGCCTCTGGGAAAAAAACGCTTTGGTGGACACATACTGTAGCTACCAGGGAGAGTACACTCAGTGCACTGTGGCAGATTTAGTTAATCTAGACATGATGTGCTGATTTTTCCCCCCATCAGTCGGCCAAGATTTTCTCTGATAGATTACAGCCATAGCTCCGACGTTTCAATATCTGTGAATTTATTTTGTTCTTCTAACTATGTGAATGTATAGGGAATGATAGAGACGTGTTTTGAGCAGAAGTTAGCACCTGTATGTACATATGTGAATATCTTGCTTTTGGAAAATGGTTATTGTTGCTTTATTATTGAATGCTTGATAACTGGAGCTGCAGCACAACATGGTTGTTGTTGCGTAGTAATAAACAATATACAAAACAAAATGCATTTTCTTTTTTTCATACATTTATTGTTAATAACTTTCAAATATAAGAAAAAAATGTTGGCAAATGTGTTGGCAGTGTTCAATACAAAAATGTTTTCTTTTGCACAAATCAAAGATGAACTCGTTTAATACTTTGAATGTTCAACAAAAACACTGGTTTTAAGAATGCAGATAAAAAGTCTGACTGCCGTACAGTTGGGATGAGCATCTATTCATCACTCGTTGGCTTGTTCTCCTGCATCACAACTGAACGAGCCGACAGTGATGAATATTAACGATGTATCCTGATATGTGCAGTTCATCCTCTTACGTTCCGACTCCGTAAAGAAAGGGTAGACCTGTCTTTAAACGGACTGGAATAATTACATAATACTGGTGTATTGTGACCAAATAATCCCCAAATACTTTTGTCAAACATCCTGCAGTTCTAAATCCCTTTTGTTAGCTTTTCATAGACACCATTGAGAAGGTAAAACACAGTGTTCTTTGGTCGTTTGTTAGTCTTTCAGCCAAAGTGTCGTAATACATAAAATACTGTTTTCTTTTATTTGGGTCACTATGTTTTCCTGACCTAAGACTAAGGGAGAGACTGACCTAAGATTTATCTCCAGAGGCCATCACCAGCTCCAATGTTAAATGTTTTCATCAAGAAAATAAGTCAGAGAAATAAAGATGACATAAACGTAATGCTAAATTACACACAAACAGCTCACGTTTACCAAAAGGTAAACAATTAAGTCTTGAAAAGTAAAGATGAGATGGTCAGTTTCTGAAGGGGGAATCACCAAACACAAAGACCTACTTAACATAAATACCAATACTGATTATGGGCGATTGTTTAATTTCACTTGAGGGTAGAATTTATCTGTGTGTAAGTTATTGTAAGTGTCAGTGATTCCCACAACAGCGCAAGCCGCCGCTGGTGCTTCTCATGTATTACTGTTACCTTTGAGTCACAGATCTTTAAAATACCCAATGAACACTTACTGCTGTTCTGCAGATCCTCAAAGACTCTTTTAAACATCTGAATTAAAGAAAATATTCAATCCGCTGCATGCCCAAGATTTTTAACCCATTTCCCGTGCTCTGCCCTGTAATATATTCATGATTCTTCCCCGTATTTTATGTTAAATTAAATATAAATTTGCTGTTTTGCATAAAGTACAAAGACATATATAGAATTGCAGTGATTTAACGATCAGTTAACTATTAATCATGCACCATTTTGATGATAAATTAATTATTTTGAGTAATTTTTTAAGGGAAAAAAAAGTCATAATTGTCTGATTAAAGCTCCTTAAATGTAAATATTTTTCTTAATTCTTTACTCCTCTGTGACAGTAAACTGAATTTCTTTGGGTTACGGACAAAACAAGACATTTGAGGACATCATTTTGGGCTTTGGGAAACACTTATTAACTTTTCTTTCTTTTTTAACAATTTTCTGACAATTTATAGACAAAACAACTGATCAGTTAACTGAGGAAATAATCAATGGATTAACTGACAAAGAAAAGAATCACTGGTTGCAGCCCTACACTTGTTAATGTCAGGAAGAAGTCAGTTTGAGAAATGAGATGAGCTGTTTTTTTATTGGGCGGCAAACAGAATATTTTTTTCCATCCAGATTGGAAGAAGAGTCTGGTAATACTTTCAGAACAGCTGTAAGTTTTGTTTAACAACGCTGTGGGTTGTGAGTATGAGATAGCATGCTTAGCTTTGTGACTCAAATGTGATGATAATACAGGAGAAGCTACAACTGCGGCTTCAACAGCACCTTAAAGAAGTTCTGTAAGCCAAACAGCACACACAACTCTGCAATCAAGTGATGATGAATGATCTTGATACGATGCAAGAGTTCTCATGTCGTCGCTACATTGTACTCTGTGGAGTTTTAAGAAGTTCAGGGTGTGAAGTTTGCTAATAGTACGGCAAAATACAGTGAGGGAGATTGTACATAGGAGACACATTAAAACCACAGTTGGCACCACATTGAAAGGACATTACTGGATAGTACAGTACAGAGTAATACAGTACATGGATGGTGATTATATACATATAACACTGACACAGTGAACAGGAGGAGACAGGAGAGAGACATGGAGGTTGCCAGATCTGCATCTGGAAAAAGGAACTGCGAGGCAGCGGTGTGATGATTTATGTCAGCCCAATTTCTTCTAAGACACTCCGTGGTGCCTCGGCCTCCTGCGGACGTAGAAAAGAAAGAGTAGTGTGCCTTGCTGAAATTACCCCTCCAAATTATATTTGATAGGAAGAGTCATAATTGCAAGTTACTGAACGTGTGATGGGGACAGGAGGCCTTTCTAGTCTACAGGCCTGCTCAGTCAGCCGTGTTGTTACAACAACAATTCTGCATGCTTTGCTAAAAATAAATCACCGAGCACTAATTCTGTTGAGTACAAATGACTACAGCTGGACAGAAATGCGAACACGCAGGACAGCACTTGCTTTCGCACTCTGGCACAAGGGAGGAAGAGGTATTAATCAAGCGCTAATGGCCAAAAATAAACAAGTGACGTCAAGTGCGGAGGGCAGCAGCGTCAAAAAAATAAAAATAAAATAAAAAAAGCAATGCACGAATATCTTAGAGCTACCCTTCATCATTGTTGAGTGAAATTAATTTTGCTAATCAATGACTCGTTTCAATGACGTGTTTTTAAGCATATATGCCATAAAGCTGCTGGTTCCAGCTTCTCAGATATCAAGATTTGCTGCTCTTCCTTGTCTTAGATGACAGTAAGGTGAATATATTTGGGGTGTGGACTGTTGGTTGAACATTATTTGATGACACCCAACACCAGCTCTGGAAGCTTGTGATGAGCATATTTCCCAAATTGTCAGACATTTCAGGAACCAAACACTTAAAGGTCCAGTGTGTAGGATTCAGGAGAATATATTGGCAGAGGTGGGTTATAATATAACAAGTATGTTTTCTTTAATGTATAATCACCTGAAAAAAAATATGGTCATGTTTTCGTTACCTCAAAATGAGCCGTTCATATCTACATAAGGAGGGAGTCCACATCAGTCCACCATGTTAAACCACCATATTTCCATAGTAGCCCATATGGACAAACCAAATGCTTGCTCTAAATAGGGCCATTCACGTTTTTGCATCGGCCACCGTAGTGTGCATCCCTTCGGACAAGCTGAACAGCATCACAAAAACACTTATTTTTAATGCGTAAGATTTATTGAGTGTTTTTACTGGTTTGAAAAACCAAGTCCTTTTGTTATGAAGAGGAAGAGACCTCTGTGGATAATTCGGCTGCCAGTAAAAATCTCCTGAACGTCTCGATCTTAAGTTATCAGAGAAAAAGTAATCACACATGAGCAGGTCCTGGCCTAGCAGCCTGTCTGCGACTAGTTGAACAGCGTCTGAGAAGCACTGATTTGTAATGTGATACTGCTTTATTCAGTCTTTTTTAACAGTTTTAGTCACCTGCTCCAGTTGCTTTGGAGAGAATGAGACCTCTGCTGATAATGTGGCTAATGGGTAAAAATCTTGTGAACAATTAACACAGACGGAATCCTAACCAATAGTTCATGCTTGGCGCGTGAGAGAAGTCTCAGCTGGTTGCAGTCTGCATTCCTCACCGCTAGTTGCCACTAAATCCTACACACTGCTCCTTTAATCAGCTGAGAAAATCATCGGCAGGTTAACTGACAGGTACTGCTCACCTTTATCTGCTGATAAAGAACTGTACGTACCTCCTGCAGCAGGTCAGCTTGTTCGATGGCCTTTAGCACATTCTTCTTGGATGTCTCCTGGGCCTCTCCACCCAGCAGGAACTCATCCAGGATAAAGTAGGCCTTCTCAAAGTTGAAGATAATATCCAGCTCACACACCTGTAAGGCCACAACAACACAAACAGCAGCAGATCAGAGGAGATCCTGTCCTGAATTTTCTATTGTTTATCCCCCCCCCCCCCCCCCCCCCCCCCCCCCCCCCCCCACACACACGCTATAAGTCAGCATGTTACATGTATGAAGTTTAAGAGACTCACACTGCCAAAGTACTTGTCCAACAGCTCCACGTATCTGTGGATGATTTCCAGGGTGATCAGCTCATTATCCTGATCCTCGACTGCACAGCAGAAATACAGGCTCGCGTATCTACAACATAAAGTGAGGAAATAACCAGTGAACAAGGGGGTGATGTCGACAAATGTTAATGTTTGTAACATATTATATCATTGTTAGTAACATGGGTGCTACTTCAGCAGCACAATCAACTAGTTGGAATGAACAATAAAATAATAACATGGCCAAGGTTTTCAAAGTGTGGTGACCAAAATGATAAAACTAACCACAGAAAATCTGATAATGAAATCTGAAATGATAACACTTACCACAGAAAATCTTACTGTGGTTTACTGTGAAACCACTGACCACTTCATCCATACTGCAGGCACATTAAACTGGACTGTATTAGTTTGTGCACGTTAAACAGGCAAGTGTATATCATTGTGCTACAGTATCGCAGCCCTGGGTCAATGTCTCCTGGCTGTTTGTTGTTTGTCTTTCTTTGTTAGCTTTTTGTTTATAATACACTGAACAAATACGGATGTGTCCTTTGTATTTTTGTGACTCAACACTCGCATCTGGGACAAATCAGGCACTCCTTACATGTCTGAAACACTCCTCCATTGTTTGGAAGTTGTTATAAGAGAGGGGGTGTTTCTGGTGTTCATCACACACCAGAAGGTGAGAACTAAATCTCAGTGCTTGACAACATAATCACTGACTCACGCCACCCCAACATGTCACCACAGATACAAAAGTGATGTAGCACACCAAACATTTTCACATCCTGTTACTAAGATCGTCCTCTGAAATGCCAAAGTGTACCACAAAAATCAGTAATAGCCTACTGTGGAATGTTTGAAGGTTTAACAAAATAATCTCATGCTTCATCAACAAACTTAAATCACGTTATAAGAACTAAATCAGTGGTGTTCAAGTTACGGGGCTCACAACAGTGTGCCAAGTGGCCTGCTGACCATTTTCTAATTCTCAGGGACAACGAACTGATTCATTTCCGTACTCTGAATGTAAATAAGGTATCAGAGTGCATGAAAAAAGCCTCAAAATAAAGCTTGTTTATCAAAAAAAAGTGCCAGGGAAGGAACCCTTCAGACCCCCTGACCAAGTTCTGGGCTAAGTCTGTTTATTCACTGGCCTCTGGCCTCCTGTCATTTTGCAAAAGTGGCCCCTGGGCAAAGCAAGTTGAGTATCCCTGAGCAAAGTCCATCTGTTGATGAAGTCTGTCACATGCAGACGAGATCTCTGACAAGAAAAAGCAATGCCAAACTACTATTTCCATAGTCAGGATTGAGCTTTCATGCTGCAGTATCTCATGACAGGCCTGCAGCAGCGTTTGCAGGATTGATTTTAAAGAGATTGATTTACATGATCCAAATTGAGCCTGCTGCTGTTAAGAAGTACATTTTATAACAAAACACACTGCATTGAAGACAACCAGTGAGATCCATGCCTGCCCTGGAGGCTTGGTGCAGATGACAAGAAGGAAAATGATCTGAAAAGGTTTGAATGCGTCTCTGCAGCATGTATGTCACTTACCTCTTGTACACAATCTTGAGGTCCCTCCACTCCAAGAAGCTGCACATCTTGGGCTTCCTGGCCAGGATGGTCTGGACCAGGTCTCTGGATATCTTCTTCCTCTCCTTGTCAGAGAGAGGCACGTACCATTTCTGTAACCTCAGCTTTCCCTGCCGGCTGAACAACAGCATGAACTGCATCTGAGGGAGGAAGTTCAATTCAAAGTTAGCCATGATAGACACGAGATAAACACATGAATAAAGAGAAGGGAGGTGAAGAAATGACAGAAGTAAAGGGATGGAAGGTTGGGTGGTAAGTCAAAAGCAGTCATGTGACATATAACGTTATGATGAGAACTAAGTTACTATACCAAAACAATAAAAAATAATCCAGTAGCTGACATCTAATAGAATAATAAATAAGAAACAACCTCACACCAAACACATGCACTATTTTCGAGGATAACACGACCTAACCGTCTGATCAAATCCATTTTTAGTTTGGTTAGTTTTACATCCAGGATGCCTCTGCACAAACTTCCATTAGCCTATGTTAGCTAACCCTGCTAAATGGCCACATATTAACATCATCAACACGGCTATGTGTCATTTGCGCCCCCTCCCGCGACGCCCAGCTAGCTACAGCATACACGAGAAGTAAACACGACTCTTTACCTTCGACCGGATCTTCGGTTTAGTCTCTTAGACGACTGGTAACTTCAGTAAATTCAAGCGAAACACATAACCAAAGACAGTGTGCAGATATTTGCGTGTCTCTGCACGTTAGCCTCTCATTCAGCTTGATGCTAATGTAGCTAGCGGATGGTGGTTGCTGGTGAGACAACGATTAACACAGCTGCGCTGTGATTGGTTGAAAAAGCCACAGCTCTGGGATTTGATTGGCTGAGAGATTCCGTTATTCGTTGCGTTTTTTCCTTGCACACTGCTATCGTTTCCTGTGTCTGAAAGTTTTCCACACAGTCATTTTCACTTCTGTATTCATCTGGATATAGGTGTATCCTACCAAAGATAACATTTATACACAGAAATATACAGCAAAAGACTGTTTTGGAAAGTAACCACGTACATTTACTCGAATACTGTATTTAAGTACAGTTTTTAGGTACTTCTACTCCACTAAAGTTAAGAGGCAAATATTGTACTTGATCCACTACATTTATTTGATACCTTCAATAACAAGTCACTTTGCAGATTAAGGTGAATAATACAAAATATAAAATTATAAAATAATATTTTTTAGGTTAAGATAAGGTAAGGCTTTATTGGTCTACCATATAGAGAGTAATTAAAATAATCATTACCTTTACCAGCAACAACATTAAAGTGATGTACACATTTAGATAAGATAAAATAAGATTAGATAAGAAAAGGTATGATAAGATAAGATAAGAAAAAGTATGATAAGATAATATAAGATAAAATAAGACAAGACAAGATGAGAAGACAAGATAATATAAGATAAAATAAGATAAGATAAGATAAGATAAGATAAGATAAGATAAGATAAGATAAGATAAGCCTTCATTGACCCCTACAGGCGAAATGTAGGTGTCGCAGCAGCATAAAGACAGAAATAACAAGCATACAGAAAAACAAAGAAGTAAATAAATAAATTAATAATAATAATGATAATGATAATAATAAGAATAATAAGAATAATAAGAATATACGTAAAAAAATGATATGAAGGATACAAGAGCAACAAATACAAAGTTAAGAGGTAAAGTGACATGATGTGGTTAATAATAGCAACAAGTAAAATTTGGGATGCAGGACAAGTAAATAATCTGAGTTCTTTCACCACTGGCTAAAAACAAGCAAACAAAAAAAATACATAAATACAAATAAGTGTATATTAATGAGTGTCCATATACAAGTCAAACTGTTACTGTAAACTGTGTATAATGGGTTAAATAGTGCAACAGTGCTGGAATGAACATTGTATGGTAATGTACTGTAATGTGTTGCATATAGGTACTTCTGCTTTATTTTTAATTTAAGTACATTTTGCAGGAAACACTTCTGTAGTTCTTCCACCACTGCCATTTTAAATGAATTAAATACGTTTTCTGATGATGTTTGCTTTTTTCTTCTTCTTTTTTTGAAGAAATTATTAGATGTTTGATATTCATTTTGAACATATATAAATAAGACACGAACATACAAACAAGCAGACAGTCAGAAACAAAGCAATATATTTACAAATAATGAAAAGCAATTTTCAGTATATAGTGTATAGTTACTTTGATTTACACTTCTGAAAAAGAGTGGGAGGATGTATAAACTTAAATCCCACCCCTTCTCCATTAGTCATTGAGTGAAATGAAACAGAGAACTTCCTCATATAGATAAACCTATACCTAAGACTTCTCTAAATATACCATTGTCATTACTTTTTAACTTTATCACACAAAAACAGCCCATGTATATATAATAGTAATTACTAAATATCTATCTTACAAAAACCTATTTCAGTATATAATATAAATTACCAATAATCCGTGACTTACAAGTATAAACCAAATATACCAAATATAACCAAATATATATTAATATTACATATATATCTTCATCAGCTTGTCCTGCTATCGTTTTATATTTAATAAGTGAACATATGAATTATACAAAGTATGAATATACGTAATTCTGCCAATATATACTTGTTTACACCAACATACCCAAATGAACAGATAATTACTTATTTACATATTAATACCTTGTTAATTACAGACAAATAGAAAAAACATATATGTAGAGAAAGTAGACAGTAATCCCTGTGAGCAACTGGTGAATGTCAAACCCCTATATCTCCTGAATGTTATATATTTATTTCCTTTTTTAAATTGGTATATGCTTGGAAATTGCTTGAGCTCCCCCTTCAAAATGTTCCAAAACTTCACTCCACATATTGAATTAATTACAAATTAAATGATCCCCTTAAATTATAACCCCCCTCTCAGTCACTAAACAGTTTTTAATATTTTCTGGTAGCAGTTATTTCTTGCTTTAAACATTATTTGTGTAGTTTAAATCCATATATTAGAAAATTTTAATAAATTTGAATGAGTTAGTGTGATCATTTTTCCCTGTAGCTCTTAATTTGTATAAAAGCTGCTATGAAATTAAGTTTTGGGGATGGTTTCTGTCTGAATACATTTGGGTTGTGCCCTGAAACCTTTGACAATGACTGTATGGAGGTCAGGTGGCGCCCCCTGTCGTCAAACCTTCGAAAAACAGGAACATAATGTATTTTTCCCAGAATGGATGTAGTTGCTGTCACACCGAAGCTACTCCTCCCGAGCCTCTTCTGGAGTTGACCCCGGTTTACTGTCACCTGCCCGGCCTGAGTGTACCTGAACACATCCAGCTGTGTGACCGGAACACCAGGCTGAGTGTGTGTGTGTGAATACCGGCGCGTGAGTTCAACGTTAAACGTGTGTGTCGTCAAAAAACAGCTGGATGCTACTCAGCTAGCAAACTGTAGCCGAGCTGCAGCCCCTGCAGAGCGGCGAAGGTGACAGATAAATCCGCACTGCAGGACTGAGAGGATGGGTCAATGCCTGGTAAAGTACCTTAATAATCTACATTTACCAGCTGTGTTAATCTTAAACTCATATGTACAGATATCCAAGGCTTTGTTGCTGCTGTGTGACAACTCGTTCAGACATAACTTGGTGTGTCGTGTGCGTAGTGATCAGTGAGGATGAGGAGCCGCAGTAACTCAGGAGTGAGGCTGGATGGGTATGCCAGGTTGGTCCAAGAGACTATCCTGTGCCACCAGGTGAGTCCACACACACAGAGCAGGACACTGGACACAAGTAGCAACACCACAGTGTGGAAATAGTCTGCTGCAAGTAAATATACATGCATGTGCATCAAGATATGCTTGGTGTCAAAAGTACTTATCATCCAGCATGGCCCATTTCAGAAGCATATGTACTTTACTGAATTATACTTGTTGATGCATTACCATGTAGCGTAGGCGTAAATTTAGGAGAGGGTGCAGAGGACCCCCTCAATATTTATATCAGGGGTGTCAAACATACAATCTGGCCCACTGGATGACTCTGCACACCTTATTTGGTACATTTGTACAGGCTGAGAGGTGCCAGGTTTCAGGAGCAAGTTGAACACTCAGTAAGCTGTGTCAGACCTGTTTCCATTGGGACCAGTATACATTATTCTGAAATAACAATAGATACTCACTGTGGTCATATTTACTGATATTAAACATTGTGTGAAATGTTGTCAATAAGCAGCTTCAGTGGGCTACGAAAGAATCTGTATCAGACTTCTATCATAAAACAACATTATTGAAACCCTGTTGCTAAGGCTCTACCAAAACGTTTGCTTTGTAAAGGGTTTGTAAGACAGGGGATAATTTAACCTGCTTCCTTATAGCTACCACATTAGTTTGGTGTGGTGATGTCAGCATTGCTACACAGGAGTGGACATGTGTGGAAAAATGAGAAATGAGAATTCGACTGACTGTGAAAAAACAGACATATTGTTGAGACTGCACTTTTTCCCTGAAGGCTGCTATTCATTCTAAGATAAGATAAACTTTATTGTCCCATGTGGGAAATATATTTTGGGCACATAGTGTAACGTAGCTATATAGCAAATACAACCATCATATACAATTAGGACTACTGGGTGAAATAAATACCTCAAGTGTGTTATAACAGGTAAGGCTAAAAGAATAAAAGCTCCTTAAGGTTGCTCTAGCCCAGGAGATAATAATTAAAAGTGCAATAAAAACAGTAGTATAGAGAGTGCAAATAAAATACAGTAGTGCAAATGAAACTGTTGCAAATAAAAACTGAAGTGCTTCCAAAGTGCGCAACAGGTCAACAGTCACAACAGCAGCCCTGCTCTGCCAGGGAGACACAATCATTTATAAATGAATGATTGTTTGCAGAATGAACTTGTACCTCTTTACGCTAAAAAGAAGAAAACCATTTGGAGGTGTTGTTATTTACAGGCTGCAATGGTTTTACTGGTGCGGCCCACTGGAGATCAAACAGGGCTGTATGTGGCCCATGAACTAAAATGAGTTTGACACCCCTGATTTATAACATATGCACATGTCCCCTTCATAAGAGCATGCAAGTAGCAGAGAGCTATTATTTTTGGCATGATTAAAGACATTTGCACAATAAAGTGATGCATAATAATCACAAAAAATGGACAGGATTAAGTGTTTGATTCTCAAAATTTTCTGGCAGAGGACCCCCAACCCCTGTTTTATACATGTCCCCTGCAATATTGGCACGAAACCTACGCCCTTGTATGTAAGCACAACTAACTACGAGGTAGCTTAATCTGTTATAATACATAATAGATTTGAGACTGTGATTCTGTAAGAAGGTTGTTCAGTCGTTCAATGTGTAAGCCATGTAATGGTGAAGTAGTTGCCCATTGACTTGTGTATGTGGGATTGAAGACTATGTTTATCATTTTTACTTCAAAAATAGTTGAAGTAAAAAGCAACATAAACTGGAGTTAGGCAAATAAAAGCACAAGTACCTCAACGTCGTACTTGTGTAATTACGCTCATGAAATCCTCCGTTTTCTCCTGCAGAAGTACGTCAGACATGCAGATGTTTTGTTGCTGGTATAGGTTCAGGTTCAACCGGATTGAGTGGCATAGAAATAAACACGGCGTGAGCAAAGTTCAGCCCCTGCAGTAGGCTGAAGACCAGGAAACTATGCACTTTTATCTGTCAGTACGTCAACAGTCAACAGCTGTCTGTGACCCTGAGGGTCTACAGCTGAAACGGTGCCAACTTTCCTTACATAGCATGAATAT